AAACACCTCTACACCTGATTGGACAGCTTGTCCTCCCTTGTGTTGTCCGGAGTCAACCTTTGAGCACAGTGCCATCTGCTGAGGACTGAGGTACACAGACATCTCATCCACAAAGGAATAAGAAAACCCTTAGGATTTTGTAACTTATAACCAGTCCTCAATTAACAACACTCTTCTGAAACAGATTTTCAGTAGGAGCAGCAACAAATAGACCCAATGTTTCACCAGCAGAGGACCATTTGAGTCTGTGTGCTTGGGTATCAGCCAGAGGCCTGATTAAGTCTAGATCCAGGCTGAGCTGGCTCCTGACTTGGCATTCATACAACTGCAATTAGACCTAAAATTGTACCTTTTGGCATCTGTAGCTCAGTTATACAGAGAGCTCTTGAACATTCTGAAAAGGAGCCCAAAATACAGGGTCTGTTGTGCCATGCCAGGACCGCTCCAGCTGCCCAGAGAGCTGTGACCACCTCCTCTTGTCAGAGGAAGACCTTGAAGTCCCCAAAGACTCTGGGCACTTAATCAAATAGAAACTGGCCTGGAAGGAAATTTCACTGCTGAAGAAGGCACTTTCTTTCCGAAGGGCTTCACTGACCCTTCGTTGTCTCCACCACCAGCTTAACTCTCACACTCCTCCCTGGTTCCATATTCTGTCCTCCCTCAGTATCTCCTCCAAGAACAATGTTTTCCTCCCCTAGTGACCTGAGCAGGTGAACATGCCCCTGTCCTACCTTAGATATCTTCTTCTCCAGCCATGAAACAATGCTATTCTGCATGTGGAAACATGTGGCTGTTGCCAAAGCACCTTCCTGACAAGCATCTAGTGAGCTGGATCTCTCCCCTTGAACCTAAGTAGACACAAATGCATAGAGGGGAGGGTTATTTCTGCAGGTATTTCTCCCTTGTATATGGGGCTCCAGCACCCTCAACACAACCACACAGAAGAAAGAAACACAAACCCATGTCCTGCATTTCCTGCCTGTTCAAGAATGGTGCTGGGATATGGACTGCAGATACCTAAATGAGGCTGTCAGCAATATGGGCCTTTACAGGCTGTGTAGGTGCCTCGCCTCTCATCTCACTGCAGATATAACCAATACAGTAGATATAACCAATACAAGAGCTGCTCAGCTAAGTATAAGCCTGTAGGATTGTTTGAGGCAGGTACAACATGAGTGAGTATGACACGATGCCTACAGAAAACCCTTCTAGTGGCTTCAGGCCAGGCAAAATAAACAGAGCATCTCAGCTGGGACTGGATGCTGGCACCTAGGGAACTAAGTGAAGCCATTGCTTTTCCCAGATCCTAATGGAAGACTTGAACCAGAAATTCCAATCTCCATGAATCTGAATACTGCAGTGAACTCCACCCTCCACTTGTATGGAGTCACCTAATCACTCTGCAGTGTTCTGCTTTGAAATCCTTCCACAACTTTCATTGCTGTTGCATTCTGTAGTCACTCTACACTAAATGTGTGGCTGTTTCCCACACGTTAAGGCTGCAGAGTGGGATTTGCCTTTGGAGGGTTAAGTGTTTATGGTTCTGCTGAACAGATACAGTGTCAGGTTGTTTTGGTATCCTTTAAGATAAATGGATGGACAGGTGGCAAAAAGCATATTTTGTAAGTGAAAAAAACATCAAATAAAGCAAATGAAAATGCACAACGTTTTCTTCTGTTGTCAGTGGAACAATATGTTTCATTTATGGCTGCATACAGTGGGAATATTAGCTCTGATCTGCAGAACTGCAAATTAAACAGCTGATTTCAATTACTGTATTTTACGCACAGTAATTTTAAAGGCCTCGGCTCCTTTCATTGTTTGTAAAACCTTTATGAGTTGTTGGCTTTTTTTTAATCATATGTACGTTAGAGTGGAGAGGTTTATTCCTGTTACCATACCAAAGGAGGCATTTTGCTGCTAAGAGAGTTCGGCGTTTTGTTCAGCTGTGATAACATTCCCTTATACTCTGGCGTGAAGCACAGTTAAGCCAGAAATGTTTCATGGTTTTGTGGCACCCTTGTGTGAGGAGCTCATCCTTTTTCCCCACTTCGTTTTTTCAAGGGATTGCCCACGGATTTACAAACTCTACACGCTTGTCCAGCATGCAGTGGTGGCACAAAGAGAGAAGATATGGGCCTCATGTAGCCTCAGCTCGCGTCCTGCGTTACCAGTGGGAGACGTTCCCTGATGAATCCAATCCAGCACAAGGGAAAGCAAGCCCTTTTTTCATCACAGGAGAACAGAGCACATTCCTAGAAATTATTTTGTTAGTCACTTTTCGTACACAAGTGTTCTGTTTGATCCTGGCTTCCTACGGAAACGCTCCGTGTGGTTTTGTAGCCCCGGGCCTTGCCAATTTGGCTGTTCCCTCCAAAAGCTTTTGAATCCTTTTGCCAAGCTCAGTCACATTTGATAGGCACTGAAGGCTTAAAGGCATGAGCAAGTGGGGTCTGGACACCTCGCCCTGGTCAGTGGCTGTGGGCCCAGGAGCATCTCCTCTTGCTTTCACAGGATATTCCCTCAGCATGCAGGGCTGGAGACTCACAGATGTCCTCAGCCACAGCTTTGTGTCCCATAATTTACTTTCCTAGGCAAATGCAGTCCCACCCTGCTTCTGTGCTGCAGATTTGAAGTAGGAAACAGCGATCCCCTAAGTAACCTGATGAGGGAGAGCTGCCACACCAGCACTTGTCCCATTTGGACTTTTATTGAAGTAGCTTTCGCCTTAGTTTATCCAGAACATTTGGTCCTTTTCTCATTTTCTGTTTCTTCGGCCTAGATTACAGCAGAGTAAATTGTCCTGAGAAAGGAGAAGTGCGAAGCAGGCAGTCTGATACTGTCTCATTTTCTGCTTTGTCTCTTGGGCATTGGCCCAATAAGCTGCCATGGAGACTGACAAATAAAGCTGACTTCCCAAGACAGTCTTTAAGGCAGAAGCTGAGGAACTGAAATATCCACAGCAGCAGCTTCACACGGCTCTGTAATTTATTGTGACAGCCACACAAAAGAAAGCTCCTTAGTGATGTGAGTGAGAAGAGACTGTGTGATTTTGCATGAATCAGTGGGCAAAAAAGTGTTTCACAAAACACTTGTGAAGCTCCTCTCACATCGAGCTCTGCAGCTTCCAGACCATCCAGGAACTTGGGGACACTGACTTGGTGGCCTTTGGACCAAGCAGGGCATTCTCTGCATCAACAACGCTTCAAGGCTGCATGAAACTCTCCTTCAAAATCACGGGAATCAAGCAGTTTAATGGCACCAAAGCATCACCACTGATCAGTTACAACCAACACTAGTGGCCCTTCCCACGGGGACTCCTGATCCCCATAATCTTTTGCCAAGATCATCTGTGATGACTGAATGTTGCAGCTTCTGACATCCCCACAGTCGGTCACTGAAATGCTGCAAAGCGTCAGTCCTGGTGATTGGTTTCCCCTGAGCCAGCAGAGCGTTTCTCAGCAGTTAAGTTCAATTTTTGCCTTAAACAGTGGAAGAAATGAAATGTAAACTGGATTTCTTTCCCATGGACTGTTTATTTTTCAGTGTATGATGATATTTTTTACAAGAAAAGGTGACATCTCTGATCCCATGCAGCACTTAAGAAAACAAAACCAGATTCTTCCAATTTGAAAATAGCAGCAGAGATGGGAGATGGGGGACTATTTTTTTGTGCTGATTTTGATGACCGAGTCATTGAGTTAGGAGAAAGGCCTATGGTAAAAGTATTGAATGGAAGGAAAGCAAACTGAGAATGAACACAAGCAGATGAAAGACTGCATTTCAACAGGGCTCTTTTTCTCCACACGCTGACCATTAGGAGACCTGGGAACTCATGGCATGGTGCTCATTGCATTATGACAAAGAAGAATTAGGACCACACAACATCATGTTCTCTAGTTCAGCCACTCAGCCTTTAAGTAAGTCCCTGTATTTGACTGTAGTAAATTCTATTGAATCACTGTGATAAATTGGCTAATGATTAAGTGTTTATTAACTGCTACTAACCTTGCAGTTTACTGCAAAACTATTAATAACCTGTAAATTGTTGTTAAAAGTCAGGTTGCATACAATCAATCTGCGACAAATGTCTATGTCCTCATGCTGTACCTCTTGGAACACCAATGGAGAACATCAGGAGGCTTCCAGGAGAGTGTTCCTACTTCCTTCATTGACCCTACAGAAGGGTTGGGTTCCCTGCTTAAGTGCTGAACCAACCCCTGCTAAAGGGCAATGAAGAAAAACCTTGTTCTTCCTCTTTGCTTAGCTGCCAAAGTCCCTTAACCAAAATTCTCCAAGATTCCAATCTTGGACCTAAAGCCAAATGAGCAAAATTATTTTTCTTTCTGAAATTGTCTTGCTGTATACCTGCAGAATCAGCTCAAAGTGGGATTTTACCCTATGTTTGCTGTGTTCTCACACTCCTGGTTCCTTCCCTAGGACTCGCTGCTGCCCCTTGATCTGACACTTCCTGCTCCTGGAAGTGCTGTGCTTTTGGTGCTGCAAGTCACATCTCTTCTTCACTTTCAGTGTTTGTGTTTAAGTCCCCCACACACTTGCTGACCCAAAGGCGTGTGAAGTTACCACTGTCAAACACCTTCATTTTCCTTTCCTTGCCTGACCCCAGCGTTGAAGCCCTTTTCTCAGTGCAGCACCTCTAGCAACGCTCTAACTTGGCAGTTATATTTGCAGTGAGCTGTGCTGCCACTTATCCTGGAGAAGTTCTGTGCATGAAATCCACTTTCCTCTTGCACAGAACAAGTGCTTTCCATAAAGCAATGCCACGCACACAATAAGCCCAGAGGCAGCAAACTGTCACCTGCTGACAGGAGGCAAGAATTCCCCTTACAAACAGACCTCCACCACAAGAGAAATAGCAGCGAGCCAGCTCTTTGGATGTGCTAAAGATCATCAATTGCACTGACAGGGAGGGGGAAACTGCACGAAGAATGGACTAAGTGCTTCATATTTGCTATGGATTTTAGGATGTACAGATATATATCTTTAATGAGAGCTTTAGTGAAGGGATCGCTGTTTTCCCTCCGGCAGAGGCACAGCTGAGCTGGGCCCTTTGTTTCCCCCTGCTGCGTGGTGGAGCTGCCCGAGTGGGCTGTGTCTGCAGTTGTGGGAGTGGGAAATGAAGGGGGTTCAGCTCTGACGGCTGTGTTCCTGCATCCCACATCCCTCATCCTGCATCAGTGCATCCCACATCCCTCAGGCTGGCAAGAGGTGTGCAAATGAGAGGCTGGGAGGAATAAAGACGTCATCTCGAAGTGGGCTCTCCCTTTGGGCTCCTGCTGAAGGCTGGATTTCGTGGTCTCACAGCCCCGTCTCCCACGTGTGCTGGTGAAGTGCTTCAGATCCTGCAGCACTCTCAGGTAAGGGACCAGCTCTCAGTGGGACCCTGCACCCTTCGGCACGTCGGGTGGCAGCTGAGGCTTTGGGAAGCATGGGAAAAGCTGCCTGCTGCGTTCCTCGCTCCTGCATGGGGCGTCTGAAGCGGGGAGCGGGCACAGCAAAGTTGGAGCAGACTGAATACTGGAGGATAAGTGTGGAAACAAATGGTCCTCATTTGGGCTCATGCTGTGAGTCACAGCGCTCTTCTTCTTTTGACCCACATAAATGAAACATTTAGGGTGAAAATAATAACCAGCACAACAGTTTAAGCTATAACTGCCCAAAATAAAGAGAGGACCAGACTGTAGCATCCGTGCTGCAGGGACTGAGCTCTGCTGCTAGCTGGGAACAGCCTTCGAGAGGTGAGCCAAAAGCCTGCTCTTGTCTTTCACGTTTTTTTTCTGGCTGTGGCTGTTTTCCCCTTTGCATGTGACTTTCCCAACTCTCCAGCAAACTGGGAGCAGGGACCGTGCGGGGGGTCACCTGCGCTGCCTTTGCATGCCATGGGTCTGCATGCTGCACCACAGCAAGTTTCAGCCAACGTTTAAGCTCAGACAGTGCCAGTTCCCAATATCAGCAAAGCTATTCCCTACCTGCCTGCCTGCTGAATGGCACTTCAGCACCCTCATGCATCGGCATGGAGGAAAATATTCATCTGCAACGCTCAGAAGCTTCTGCAGATATGCTGAAAGGCTGGGCAATGGGGCAGCATGTGTTTGTCTAGGGGAATTCTGTAGGGATTTGTGACTCCTGCAGGAGTCAAATCTGGAGTCTGAGGGATAGGTTGATGCCCTCTCCTAGTAATTATGTGCACTATGCCCTTGTGTGAATATTCTGTTCATAGCCATCATGATTCGCTTTATCTTACCTGTTAGAACTGCGAGCCCAGAACTCTCTTTCGGTCATTTCTGGACTCCATCGCTAGATGGGGACATGCTCACGTACACTGAGTCCTCCCTCGGTTTGTTTTCACTTTCTTTACTTCAGTGTAAAGTGAGAGTTAATTTAGATGGAATGCATTTTACCCTCTGCTTACAGAAATACAACATTCCCATCCACACACAGTTCTGCTCAGGACAATTTGGTACCCAATCAATTTTTAATACGGCATTAATTTTGTTAGCAAGGCTTCTGTAAGAAGCCACAAAAGTGATTCTGGAGATGAAGCTATCTAAAGGCTAGTATTACTGATCTCTTTACATAACTGGGAATATTACTGTCACTAGCCAGTGACATACTCAAAATTAATGTCACATTCTAAGAACTTTCACCAAATCTTTTAAAGTTTAAAATCAGGGTATCAATTGTTTTTGGAAACTACCAGTTTCCCTTTCTTCTTCCTGTTTTCCCTGAGCATGCAACACTGCCCATTTCCTTTCTTCAAATATTTGTCAGTAGTTGCAATCCAAAGCCCAGATTTTGCTCTTTGGAGGAAGGTTGTGGTGCCTGGAGGAGGAGTATGCCCTCCCTGAGGACATAGACAATCTCTATTCCACGCTCTTTATCATCTTTGTGGTCTCTGTGCTTGCACATCTCAGCCATATATGGTGGGGATTGGAGATGTGATGGTGTGGGTGTATGGCCATGCGTTGCCTGGCTGGTGCAAGTTTGTCTTCACCTCCTCTCTGGGGCCTTGCAATCTTTGTAGGGTTTGGGCCAGCTTGGGCTTTGCATGCACAGTGAGAAACTGTGCTGGATGGGTTTCAGGTCAGCTTGGAACAGAATGTGGCTCACTTAAAATACTGCTTTTTAGAGAATTTAAAAGAAGCTGATTTGGGGCATCTTCCTCCATTCCTGCCTCCTGCACATGCATTCCTATTCTTTTTGCTCCTTCGGCAAGTCTGAAATAACAGAGTCCTTTGCTGGGAACTCAGCAGAGCTCTTATGATAGGTACATGCATAAGAAGTGAAAAATGGTTCTGCACAACATGTATCACGATTATCACGAGATAGCAAGCTACAGCAGCTGAGCAGAAATGACCTACAGCAAAATAATTAGTAGTGGGCTGTGCTTGGTCTCGTTCATCTTCATCCACACGAAGCAGGCTTCGTGTCCTGTGTCCTGAGACCACAGGGAGAGGAGGTGTGATTTGGGATCTCTTTCTTCCAGTACTTCACCGTTACCCACATGTCCCTTTCTGATCAATATTTCTTCTGCACCTCAGAACAACCCCAGTCTCATTTTTCGCCACCTATTCACCCAGTTGGTGCTGATGGTGGACCTGTCCCGGAGGCTTGGAGCATGTGCACATGCATATGAGAGCTTTCCAAACTCCCGTGAACGCTCTCATCAGCACTGGATTGGACTATTTAACTGTCCAATGCTGTTTTATGCCCAGCCTGGGTGACTCACTGGCTGCTCATCCCTCACCCCATCATAAAAGTTCTTCATTACAAAGACCTACTTTCTAATCCAGCTACTTTCTGATGAAAGGCATTGTGTTCTGAGCTCCCTGAGGTTTGTAGTTTCCATTCCACGTCCCTCTTCAGAACAGCCCCTGATCTCAAAAGTATCTTCTTCCCCTCTTTTCCCCTTTTCTTTACTTCACTTTTGCTCACTAAATAATATTTGCAGAGATCTGCATTGTGTAGCAAATTGTTCCTCCGTCACTGAGTTTTCTCACAAGGTCAGATGCACTTTGTGCTGCTCCAACCCACCAAAAGTGAGGGCTCTGGTTACCCCCACCCCCCTACTTACCAGAATCTTTGGCAGATGTGCACATTTTCCATGGCTACTGTCCAATTCTTCACAATTACCCGGATCCGGCACTGTACAAACTGTGCGTGAGTAGGGTGGCAAAAAGCAAGGGGCGAGGCAAGGAGCAATGGAGAAGCAGGTTTTATGCCACTGAAAACCAGGCTTGAGAGGCTGTGAAGGCCAGAGAAGGAAAGCCTCTCCCAGGGTGTTCAACTCAGTGCATCATGCTTTCGCTGCCTGCGTTTGGGGCTGATTTGGGGGGGTCTTCAGGGTAGTGAAAGACTACAGAAGTGTGTGAATCACTCTGAGCCAAGATATTTAGTTAGTTGAAGACTCTGCTTTTGATTTTCATAACTGTATTCACTTCTGTATCCCCACAGACAGCCCAAAAGGTGCTTCACAATGCCGGCTGGCCTGGAGAAAGCTTGTCACCGCTGCATATCCAAAATTGCCAGCAATGGTAAGGCTGCTCTGGGAGTAACCTCTCTCTGTATTTGAACAGCTCCACAGCTGATAGCAATAAGTCTAGAACGAAGTTAAGGTGGCACCAAGTCCCGCCTGAATTTTCCTTGACTTCCCTGCTTTCCTTTTCCTTTCCTAAGTGATTTTAAGTGCTGATAGAGCATCCAGCAGCAGTTGCATCTCTAAAGTATCTACCTGTACTGTTACGTGGATCAGAGCAGGTTGAGCAGAGGGTTAAGAGCCAATATGTTTAAAACTCCCACTGACTGTATCTCCTTTTCACTCTGAGTTGCACATAATTTTTGCTTTCACTTTTAATCAACAGCAGTTTCTAATTCCACTCAGATGTACAGAGAAGAAAACTCCTTCATCCACTTGACCACTCAGCCTAATTGATACTTCACCCACACAACCGATTGCAGTCGTCAGTCCATGGAGATCAGGGTCTTTTATATGAATTTCTTTGGCTTCACTTCAACGGCTCTCAAAGTGCAGAACAAACTTTAACTTGTGATTAAGTCACATTGCTCCTTGCTGCCTTGCAGTCCTTCAGATCAAACAGCAGCACTGATGAGTCCCAAGTGCATTTTAGCATGAACAGTTGTGGAAGAGCAGAATTCAGCCCAGCAGCTGGGACTGCTCTTAGAGCTGGTGCTGGAGGAGTAGCAGGGAAATGCCCAGAGGTGCATGGAACAAAAAGGCAAATGCAGTGTGTCCTCTGATTTTTGTTCCTACTAGTTAGGAGAAAAATGTCACTGTTCCCTGTTGGTACCAGAGCTTTAATGATGGCTGAGAAAACAAAAGATCTTTCTGAAGGTTTTTTGAAAGAATGGGATTAGTTCTGATCTCATGCCTGCTCCCTTACCTCAGGAGCACCTTCTTGGATACCCGAAAGTCCCCCTTATGTAAAGCAACTCAGAAATACCACCCCAAGAGACCCATTATCTTTAGTTCCTCTTTACATTTAAGTTCAAAATCGACTTGGCTTTAGCTACAGATCAGCCACTGCATCCCAAACTGATTTTCTGTTTGTTAAAATGCAAACTCCCCTAAAGTGCCCTGGTGCTTCATTTTACATTTTCTCATCACCCCGTGTACATTTTTCAAATTGCATTTCAGCACAGCCCACATTGTACCTATTGTTTCCTGATATTTAAATGACTCTGAAGAGTCACCCAACTTCCTCAGCATCATTTACGTTATTTTCGTTCTTCATACAGCAATTTAAGCTCAGAACATTAGGGCAGTATTAAATAACTGACCACAGAATAAAAGGCTAATTCACTATGCTGAGTCTCTTGCAAAGCAAATCAGCGGCTCTTCATGTAATGCCTACACTGTATTTAAAAAGTGCATCTGGAAATTAAGCACAAGGGGCCAAATTCAGCACTGAAGTCATGACATAGCTGTAATTTAGTAGCTAGAGACATGGCATAAAATTCAGTCAAGCTGTTCTGCAATATTGCCTAACCCCCGCAGTGCCTATAATCTTTATGTATACACCTTCACCATTCGGTTGAATGTTCCCAGGTTACTGGCACCCCTTTCCAAATTGTTACTGAGGAGAACAGTGTTGCTGGTGTCAGTCCTGCAACCAGAAACTTAAATTGTAGGTGTTGCGATGCTGGCATAGCTTACTTGGGCATGCAGCTACTAGTGACCTGTTTCACAGTAATACAAGCTTTTCTAAGCAGACAGGGATGAATGGCATATAGCAAACAGCTGGAGACTGAGGTTGGGTTTGGTCTTTAGCTCAACTTTATTGCACTCTCTTCACCTCCAGTGGTGACCTCTGCAAGGCTCGCTCAATCTTGTAGAGGTTTCCTGCAAATACCATGAAGGAGTAAAAGGTGGATGAAGATACCTGTGATGTGTATGCACTCTGTTACACTGCTACCTTCCACACTGCCCTATAGCACACTGTGACACTGCTTCCTAAGTGCTCTCCACATGCATCCTTGCAGCATCCTCCGAAACTGCCTTAATGCACTTCCAAAATGAGTGGCCCATTTCCCAGAAGTTAATTGAGGTTAACGATAGATTCTGGCTTCTTCATTCCTATTTCAGCTCCTCTTTAATGCTGATTTCAAGTCATAGAATCATAGAACCATAGAAGATCAGAAGTTGGAAGGGACCCAAAAAGATCATCGAGTCCAACTCTCCACACAGGACCGCCTATAATTCAACTCTATGTCTGAGAGGCTTGTCCAGATACTCCTTGAATTCCAGCAGCTTGGTGCTGTGCCCACAGCCCTGGGCAGGCTGTTCCACGCCCACCGACCCTTTCCCTCACCCCCAGCTGCCTCCCCTGACGCAGCTCCGCGCCGTTCCCTGGTTCCCTGTCGCTGTCACACAGAGCAGAGCTCAGCGCTGCCCTCCGCTGCCTGTGAGCAGCTGCAGCCGCCATCAGGCTTCCCCTCAGCTCCTCTGCCCTCTGCTGAACACCCCAAGGGATCTCAGTTGCTCCTCATACATCTTCCCCTCCAAAAATTTCACCATCTCCATAGCCTTTCTTTGGACACCACGTTCTTCTTATATTCTGGTGCCCAAAGCTGCACGCAGTGCTCCAGATGAGGCTGCACCGGCATGGAGTCTTCTCAGAGGCTGCCATGCGCATCTGCATCCCAGGTTTCGGGCTGTAAACCAAATTTACTGACATCCACACTGCTGCAAGTCAGCCCCTTTCAAAGCAGAATCCTGTGGGAGCTGAGAAAGGGCTGCTGTGAATTTATACCCAGACCTTTGCTCCTCAACTTGCCCATGAAGATAAACCCTGGGGTGAACGCAAAATTTGGAAAAAATATTCTCCTTTTTTATCAAAAAGTTGGCAGGCCATAGAACAGTGTGGCTAAAGTACCCAACACCTCATTTATTATGATGTATATTGTCAGAGAGCTTGCCATGCGGTCTCCTGAGCAGGCTGCACTACTGCCATACGAGCATGCCATTCACAAAGTGGATAGATTAAGATCTGTAGTCATAAATCACTTCAGATCAGAAGAGAGACCAAGCCACACAGCCGTGGTGTTGGTGGTGATTTCACGCTCATTTACTTCCGTGCAGTGGAAGAGTGTGGGGAGCTCTGGCAGGAGACTGAAAGCTCAGCTAAACTGTGGGTTTATGGCATTGAAAAGTCCTGCTGTGCAGGAGGTGCTCTGCACCACCCTGCTGATTCTCCTGCCCACAGATTTCAAGGAATGTGCAAAACGGAAAGCTGTTCCCTCTCCTCTTTCTCTGCTGTGACTGCACATTAGGGTTGCTTGTGTTGCCTCCCATAGCAGGGCCTTGCTCATGCCGATCACAAAATGGCTGCCCCAGCAGTGGCTCTGCTGCCTGATGCCCTGACAGCAGCTCCTTGGATCAGGTGCTCTTCTGATGTTCCTCTGAACCATGCCTGGGCTCATTTACCTCACTCAGCTGTGGTTTTAGAGACTGCCAGTCTTTTCTTGCCTCTTTTTCTAGGACTGGGTCCCAGGGCTCTTCTGACGAGCTGGTGTGGTGATATTGCTGACTTAAAGCTATTGCTAGCCACGTGCGTGAAACTGCATGGACAGCAGCTCCTTCTGCAGAACTGCCTTGCTACCTTGCAACAAATTGCATTTTATTGAGCAATTTGCCTTCAGACCAGACTGGGGCAGCACAATCCAGGCAAATGCAGGCAGAGTGTGTGTGTCCTATCTGAGGAGCGTTGCTCTGAACCCCCCCTCAACGAATTGGGGAAAACGGTCTTTAGCTCTGCCAGTTGCGTAGCCAATTGTTGAGAGTCTCACTTTGTTGAACACAGCGCTGGAAGCCTTCCCAGACGATGCATCTGCCCCTCCAATTCCAGACCTAAGAGGCTAAGGCTGAATGGGAAGATAATGAGTAAATACATTCCCAGTGACTGCTGTGGGAGGAGAATTAATGAACCATTATCTTTTTCTCTTGAGCCGCAAGTTGTCCCTACCTCCCGTTTCTCTCCTACAAAATCAAGCTTCTGGGTAGAGATGTTAGATATATATGAGCCAGCTGTGTACCAGATGCACAGCCCCACATAAACGTGGGCCTTGCTGAGCCTCTCAGGGCTCATCACAGCATCCCTCCCCACTGATCCATGCACTGCCAGGTGAAGGAATGGCATGGTGCCACCTCCAACTTGCTCCTGCAGGAACAGGAGAAGGTGATACCTCCACTAGATTGGTGACTCCACTCAGAGCTGCTGACAGCACTGTGATGACGGGACCTAGGGCAACACTGGGGAATCGATGCAGCCCCTGCCCACTTCAGCTGCATTCATTTGGATGCTAGGAACATTTGTTGAGATGGGCACTGCTTGCTGGTGATGTGCATGGGTGTGTTTGAAGTCCAACTGAACTTCAAACACTGCTCTAGCCGATGAAAATTATAGTCTAGATAACATAACAGCAAGAATGTCTGGCATGAAATGGGACACTTGGTAAAAGGGAAGGGTCTGGGGTGTCAGTGTTTGAAAGAGCTTTGTCAAGGGTAGGATATCACTCAGGCAGAGGAGGAGTTTCTGGTCTGTGTCGAATTCAAGACACGGAAGAGCCAGAGCAGGAATGTGTGTAAGAGAGGCCAACCGGCGGAGAGAGGAGGAGTGGCACAAAGGAACAGAAGTGCTTTCTTCAGCTCAAAATATCTTCAGTCTCCACCAATTCATAGAGATAATAAACACGCTGTTTCTGAGAAAGACAGTCATCTCTCAGGCACAGAAGTATGAGCTCTATGCTCCCTGTTAAGGAAACACAAGCAGTGTGTGTGTGTGGGGGGGGGATGGATTCCTGTGAAAAGTGACTGCAAGGCAGAAAATCCAGATTTCGATGGTGCCACTACGTCTCTGATTCAGTTTCTCCTTCTGGCAAATGGAGGCAGTGCTGTTTCCCTATTCCTACAAGCACCCTGATGGTGATGCTTTGGCAGCACTGCGCAGCCATCCTGTGCTGCACTGCACAGCATCATGTCACAGGCAGTGCGTCCAGTCCCACATTGCACAAAGGGAGCAAATTGTTTGGCAGAGGCTGCAGTGCTGGGATATGAGCTCTGACTTCTTTCATAATCTTCCATGGAGGCACACTACTCTTTCCTTAACCCTTCTGCAACTTATGCCTACTTCCACAGTCTACGCCTATTGCACATTTGCTTTCTTAGGCACCTACTTGCAGATCAAGAAGTGGTCTGCAGGGACGCTCGCTGCAAAATTTCATCATTATTGCTTCCCCCTCATTTTCAGGAGCAGCATCTCCCTTTAATATTGCAGTGCCCATGATGAGGCACAGAGGTGGCAGCCTTTGCAGAAGATAGGCTGCTCACATTGTCATTGACACTGGATTTCTGCAAAAGTAAGCACTCATCCTCAGTAGCATCAGACTGTGCTGGGAAAGTATGGGGATTCAGAAACAGCAGCAGGTTTCTGAGGAGTAACTAGGCACCTCAGAGCCTCTCATCCAAGAGAAAAGTTGATGCACACCCCTGGAGTATCCCTCCATGGAGCTAGAGTAACCCCGTGATAAGCTGTTCCCTGTCTTTGTGTCCATGTGCTGAGCTGGGTCAGGGAGCCAGACTAACCCCGAACTCTCCACGTGTGCAATAGAGATCACTTATTTAGCTATCAGGGAAAACCGAGTGTAATGGCATTACAGCTGCTATTTGCTTCGCAAACAGACACGGCTCATCAGTTGCCATGGATTAGCTCATGCGAGCTGCTTGTTATCACACACTATAACCTGGCAGTGTCTGAAGCTGGTGCAGGCTAACAAAGCCTTTGCAGTCAGATATTTAAAAGTAGTAGCAGCAAAAGTACTTTGTGTCTCTCACTGTTTTATTGCTGATGTAAGAACTAAAATGTATTAATCAAAAAATAGAGGCTTGAGCTCTGGAAGAGCAGCAGACCATTTCCTGGTCTCATCGTCTCAGATGCTGCACAATAAATGTGATATTCCCCCTGCATCTTGTACACTGCAAAGCACTGGTGGAACTTTTAAACTCCAATAACACTGTCTTTATTTTCTTTTTCTTTTTCTTTTTTCTTTTTTTTTTTTTTTTTTTTTTTTTTTTTTGCCATTCACAGCATGCTTTATATTTGGGCTCCTTGCTTTCCTTGCCTTACCATTGTCCATGACTTTTACAGGTAAGTTAACTACAGAAGCACTTCTGTAATTTGAATTTTCTGACACTGCCTGGCAAGTTAATGCATCTTGTGGGAGAAAGGAGTTGGAAACCTTGAAGTTTCCAATCATTAAACTTGTAATTAAGCTTCAGACAGTCCACACCGTATGGAGGGAAGCAAGCAGTTCTTGAATTCAGAAACGACTTGTCTTAAATACATCTCCAGTGTGGGTCACTTTAGTATGGGCCGGGAGTTAAGACATTTGGACACCTTACTGGTACATCTCTGAAATCTAACAGGGTCTGGGTTTCTTTGTATCTAACCATAACTGAATTTTCTGGCAGTGCACTGCTTATTTGGAGGGCATCTGAACATTTTCCATTGTTGGGCTGGTCCAGATGACCTCTAGAGGTCCCTTCCAACCTAAACCACTCTGTGACTTCTTTTCACCATGAAGTTGCTGGTATGGTCTGTGTCTCAGATCTATTTTAATTCACTTTTTTAGTGGCGTGTTTGCTTCAGCTCAATTGCTGCTTAGGCTACCGGCAACTGGCAGAGGTCTGTGGGTGTTTCAGCTCTGTCTGGGGGTGGAAGCTCAGCATCCGACACATGAGAAGATTTCATTAATCAGGCTTCCTCTGTATTAACTGCACTGCAAAAACCCTAGAAGCATAGGGCTGGAAGGGAAGACAAGATTGTCTAGTCTGCTATTTCTCCATCTTTTTGAAAATGCGACCTGTTTTTTGGCTCATCTGTCTTTTTATAACCACCCGAAGGCTGGCTTTGCAAGTAGAATTAAGGATCAAATGTTTAAGAAAGGAAAGGAAAATATTTTGAGCTGCAGAATGTTAAACATTTTCCAACTGTGTAAGGCTCTTTTCTTTCCTGAGGATCAGTTTTCTCTTATCATTAATAGAGGGTTTTTTAAGGCACATTTTCTAGCACATTTCCCAATACTTCATTGCTTCCTTTGGATCCTCCACACCCTCCCCAGGGGCCGTGACCCTGACTTGAGGCACACAGGCAGAGGTACCACCCTGCCTCCCCTTTCACACCAGCTCACATGCTCAGGACCCCTCTGGCCTGACTCCAGAAAATTCCACAGCTCCCCACAGAGCCTATTTCAGCATCTCACTGCTCTCTCAGACAAAATAATTTTCCCCACATCCAACCTAAGTCTCCCCTATGGCAAATGAAATAGCCTGTAGCCTGTCCTACACACAAAGATACATTGGTAATTGTCCTACCCAAAGAAGCTTTGAAATATTTGAAGGTTCCTATTATAACTCCCCTCCATCCTTTTTCCAATTCTTCCAACCTGACCTCACAGGTCACTTTTTTGTAGCTTTCTTATACGTCTACCTTCCTCTTTTGGCCCCTGGTATGCATAACTTATTTTTCCTCCTCAAAAAATATGACAGAACACAAGACTCAGCTGAGACCTGAGGAATGAGCAGCACAGAATAATTAGCTCCTCTGTTTAACATGCAGGATTCCTGTAAATGCACCTCAGAAGAAAAGATGCTCTCTGTACCAGCTCACTGGCTCTTATTTAGCTTATGGTGCATTACAAGCCCAGATGGTTTCTGGCAGAGCTTTTTCCTGTCAGAGATTTCTTGTTTTTTATTTACATTTAGGTTTTCTCTTCTAGATGTAGTTCTCAACTTTATCAGATGTCATTTCTTAGATTTTGAATGTCTTTTTCCAGAGTATCCAGATACTAAATTTTAAGTCTTGTCCTCAGAAACCCTAGCATTAATTCCGTCTTGGTGTCCTTGAGGAGCTGTTCATCTTCTGCCTTATAATTAAAGAGTGATGGTGCAAATGATCTCTATACACAGGCATTGTGGGTGGGATAAATCACAACTCAATCTGGACTGTACGTGGCTGTAACCAAGCTCAGTATTCTGTTTTGCCCGTGCTGTCAATTAAGGGAAATGGGCATTTCTGATAGTGAAATTCCCCCAGCCTCCTTTGGATGTCAGCAATAGGATGAGATTACTTTTGAGGGACTCTGGACAATGGGCCCAACTGCAGGCATCTCTTTTTGGCCAGAAATGTGAAAAAATGGGTTCAGCTGAATGCCAACCCTGCTTCCTTTATCTGGGGTCTCCTCAGTACCAGAAATGACTGTGATACGGCTCTGATTAGGGAGTCCTAATTAGGAATTAGGGAGTTCTAATTAGGGATTAAAGAGCAATTAGGAACTTGAGAGATGGCCTCAACTGTTCCATCTCAACACTTAGGCTTCTATGCTTATCCATGACTTAAAATTGCTATTCATCCCATAAGAGGATTTTGGCTTTAGCTTTTCCCCAGGCTGAACATGCCTGAGCTGTGGAGTAGGGGTGAGAAGGTATGATTTCAAGTGTGGTACAGCTTGTGTGCATGCTGACAGCAAGCCTTCTGGAAATGGATCCACACGGGAATCTGACTGGTTTGAAATAATGTTTCTTAGGGATATTTTATAATACCTTTAAAATCAGTGAGAAATGCAAAGTGCATGGTAAGATATTAGCCTGGAGTTGTGGTCATCTCCCCCACCAAAGACAGAGCCCTTCTTTTTCCACAGCTCACCAAAATTAAGAGATGATGTCACTGTAGTATTGCACTGTCAGACAATATTGGCATTCTGCGGCTGCGTACCTTCAAAGGTATTTTTAGAAGAATTATATGTCAAGGCAAATGCAGGTATTTATTATCCAAGCAGAAGCCTCTGATTTTTTGATAACAATCTGTTTTCATGATTGCAGAGATCATGCTGGTGCCCCTCCAGTCATTTTGGCCTGAGCTTTCTGCAGAGGGAAGCTGAGATATTTTCAGATGTTAACAAGCAAATTACAACAATATAAGTTGAAACACAGCGGTGAATTACTGGTAGTAATTACACAATAACAGTGTATATTTTAAAATCTTGGTAGTACTGTAAATCACAATATAGATTTTTTTTAAAAGTCCTTTGTTATGAGGTGCATTTCAGCCATTTTCAGCTGCCTGAGAAGAGCAGAGCAGTAAAAACAAGGCCAGTGCTGTGTGCCAGGGCAGGTCACTGGGAGCGCTGGGTTCACAGCAGAGCTTGGATTTCTCATCGCCCATTGACCCCCATCACCAAGAGCCAAAGGGGAGCAAAGCTGGTGCCCGTGGAAAGGAAGCACTGATGCTCTCCTGCTGGTCTGGGTGTTCCCAAATAAAGCACATGCTATGTGTGAATTGATCTCTGCATTACGCATATGCCTCAATTTCATTGTAGCAAATGTCAGTGCTTATCTGCCAGCAGTAGGTCCATATTTCCCATTCACCCACAGTACTGTATTTTTAAAGTTATAAATGTACTAATTCCTTTCATCTTTTCTTTTGCTGTCATATCTGCCTGGAACATTCTCCTCAAAACTACAGAGTAACACTGCTTGTCATTCAAATTGTTCCCAAGTCTGAGTGCTGTCATGTTACATATATGAAAGGATTCCATAACAGATTGGTCTGGGAAACAGAATCTTAACTTCATGAGAGAAAATTGGCATGTTTTCTTGCCTATTTTTTTTCTCTCAAATCAAAATCTCAGTAGTGCATTGGAAACAGCAATTGTGTGGGTTCTTACATTTATATATATTCCCTAAGATCCCTGGCCAGCTGCTTTTCAAGCAGGCTATTATACGGCCAAGGACTCAGGAAACACTGGCAGCTGCTTTCTGAAAATGATAGAATTCTCAATGATTTCTCTATTGCCCACCTTTTTAAAGTTGGGAGTCTGAATAGGTTTATGTGTTAGTGGCAAAATGGACAAAAAATTGCAGGCTTAGAAATAGCAGACAGAAAGGAAGAGAGTCCAAGTCCATCCAAGTCCAGCCCTTTTCAATTTCAAGAGGCTTAGTACTAAATATTTAGTCTAGAATAATCCGTATGCTTCTCCATAGCAGGTCACTGCATATTATGACTAATGTAAGATCCATAGCAAAGCAACCACAATCCAGGATATCCATATTATGCTATGCAAGAAGTACAGGAGAGGTTTAGCACACCAGCAATGTTCTAGAGCACCCATAGCAGTGGATTTGTTGGGCAAATCCACCAAATCCACTGAAGAGGACCGCAGCTACAGAAGGCAAAAAAACCCCAACCCAAACAACAACAAAAAATCCAAACCCGCTCCCCATCAAATCACTGATATCTTTTTCCTGACTCCAAACTGCCTTTTTGATGTAGTTTTGAACATGAAAACAAGACGTTCCACCAGAGAAATGTTTAGCACTAAGGCCAGCACATTGCTTTAAGTGTCCTGCATCAAAATGACAACCAATTGTTAAGAGAAAAGTAAAAAAAAAAACTCCTAGAAAATGAGTTTTACAGCAAGAAGAAAACAGAAAATCCTTTCTGGCTTCTGCAGCTGAACGGTAGAAGTCTTGAAATATGGGCTCAATGACAATAAAATTATAGGGTAATGAAGAATTTAAAATTATTTAGAGACACCAGTGAGTAGGAGACTTGGGCAAATGATTCAGCTCAGCTAACTTTAGGTACTTACAGCTGGCTGTCTAGATTCCTTGTACAGTTATAGAGAGAAAGAAGCACTTTCAGGGCACAATTCATCTGACCTATTTTAAATGCCTATCTTAGGAAGAGATGAATTGAATTTTAGAAGGGTCTATTTCTCCCTATTGACCATAAGGAGAGTCTAGGAAACTAGTTCAGATATAGATGCCTGCATTGCAGACATCTAAATTTGGACAGATGAGTCTCACTGCCACAGACCTGTATCATAATCTTCAGTGTCTAATGCCAGCATCAACCTTGTACCACCATACATTCCCTTCCCTAAAACTTACTCAGCTTTCTCATGCTAGCAGTAGATTTGAGGGTTGCCAGGATCCCCAGCTCCATAACAACCAGTGCTTTTTATTCTCCAGCAACCAAACAGCCTAGAAATTTGAGCATCCCTCGTTCCCTATTAGCTGCCTGGGAAACTGAAATGGTTCCAGGAGCTCCCACAAGCACTGGCACCCAAACTTTAAGGAATCTGACTCAGGAACATGCTACAAACATGGTGCTAATAGGAGAGGCCTGGGAGTTAGGTTATCAGATGAAAAAAAATATATATTTATAAATGGTACTAATTTTCAATGATTTTTTTCTACTTCTGATGAAAACTTCCTGACCAGCTCAGTCAATTGTTCATTTATCATATGTTAAAATGGAAGCCTGCTGTACCTGCTACCTGCTACCTGTTACCTGCTGTAGGGAACCTGCTTTGGCAGGGGGGTTGGACTCGATGATCTCTGGAGGTCCCTTCCAACCCCTACAATTCTGTGATTCTGTGATTCTGTGAAGCCAGAGTAGTTAAGTAGTTAGATTTGCTCCCCTCCTGCCCTTTGGTTGCTCACAGCCCTCAATCCTGCAGTGGGAGATGCAAACCCCACTTAATTCAGCTCCCACTTCAACAGACACTGGGTACATATCTTGGGTCTAAGAACTGTACTTCAGAATTTTAGTTTGCACTGTACAGCTTGTTGCACCGTTTGATCACTCAAGATAACAAACATTATTAATTTTTGCTGTTCAGGAATGAAGTTTTTGGAAGATTGCCCAGTTCAGCCACTAATTCCATTATATCTGTTGGTGGGTGGTGTGATTGGCAGCTTAAAGGTAATGTGCATTCTATGTGTGAAAAATACTTTGTGTGACTAGACTTTGACTTACTGGTTAAGACAAAATGATGGCACCAGACAGCCATGTGCATGCAGTACAGGAGACAGCTGTCTGGATTGAACTGCACTTGTTCCAACACTCAGGGCACCCATTAGCCAAGTGAAATGCTAATGAGTTCCCTTCAGCATTGTCCCATACACTGTGGTATGCCTTTCTCTTACAGTATGTCTGCTATCAAACCCACTGATAGAAAAGACTGCATAACATGGCTGGCTATGGGAAATGAAGTCCTATTTCCTCAAACAGTGCTCCAAGCCTCCTTCATTTTCGCAGGTGTTTGCTCATAGTGCTGCACGGGTTCAATTTATCATACTTCAGCATGGTTAGAAGCAGTGACCACACAGTAGCATGGCTTTCAACCCTAAGTAAATGTACCCTTGCATTGCTGTGCCTATTAATCTGGGCACAGCCAGCTCTCTTCTAGTGGACCATGCTCATTTATCTTTACTGAGCCAAACCAATTATCCCTCTGAGGATCTTTGGGCAGCAAATAAGTAAAAGGAGAAGCAAGAAAGTACTTAATCTAGTAATCTTAATCTTGCTATGTGAATGCTATGAGTTCTCCTGGCAAATGTTTAGACATTTGATCACACCTCTGGACTTATCTGTATATTCAAAGGCAATTTAACAATGCTTTAGAAGAGATCAGATTTGAAAGGAACTTCTCAGGCTGATAAATGGAAGCATTCATCAAAAATGCTGACTATCTCTTAGCTGTTGCTGATTTGAAATCACTTTTTATCACCCAGAGTAAGTGGGTCGGTTAATATTTCGACCGACATCAAATACTGGATTGAATTTGGTTTCCGCTGACACAGGACAGTGTTTTTTTTGCAGGCTGGCAATATATCTGAACTTGATTTGGCTAACTTTTGTCATCTCACAGTGCTTGATCTCTAGCTGAATCCCACCCCTTAGTTCTACCCAGTTGCACTCATGGGACTGCACTGACTGCTACTGGCGTATGTGAGTTGTGCCTGAGCAGTACACTTAGCTAGCTTGAAATCTGAGACTTAGAGATTTATGGACACTCTAAGAATGGGTGTAGGATGAGTACAGGATGAGGTCTTGAAAGAACACTGTCCTGTGATAGATGTAATTTAATGACTACTCATTCTGGCCACGTGGATCTGATCTATTTGGCTTTTTCAGCGCCTGCAGTCTTTTAAAAGCTTTGATAACCTGTAGTTGTTCACCAACACAATGCAGCCACTCTACAGTATCTGGAGAGTCTTGCTGAATTCATGCCTTTCTGCTCCATAACCATATATTCTGCATTATTATCAGTGTGAGCAACAGCCAGAATTTGCTTCAACTACAGCGTGGCAAAGCAATGTACAGAGGGATAGACTTTCTATGGAGTGGTTAGACGGTATAGATGAGATCTATAAATCCAAGGGTTTCCTGTCTTCCTCTGAACCAACACTCACCTATCAGTTAACCCCATCACTGAGCATGATGAGGCTTCAGCACAGGCATCTGCTATGTGCTGAGATCATCTCAAAGCTAACAAGCATCATGGTGCTTAAAGTCAACAAACAGGCCCCCATATGGAAAAGTAAGACCCACTGGACAGGTAGTTTTTCCTCTCCCAGGTGTCATGAGCCTGCCTAAAATAAATGCTCACATGAGGAGAACATGCCTTACTGGTTTGAACAACCAGTTCCAAGTTCTCAGCTGTGATGCATGACATCCAGTGGAAACGGCATTTTTTGGCCTATGTTTGTGGCTGGACCTTAATCTCTGTTTCTCATAACCTTTGCCAACAACTGGGTTAGGAAAATAGCTGGCTTTTCCAGCAAATATTTAGTCAATACACAATTGAACAGTTGTACAAGGTAGAGCAAGAGAATCCTGTTCTCAGTTGATTCACCTACATGGTAATGGAAAGCAACGAGGGGAGACAAATCCACCCACAACTAGGCAGGATCTTCCCTCCTCAGCTCATTTAGCAATTACTCTAATTTGATTTTTAAAATCTCCAGTGTGAAAACTGCTGCCATTTCTCCACATAATCTGTTCCCATGCTTTTCTATCATGCCATTGGCAAGTTATTTTTCCAATGTCTGGCCTAAAAATCTCACCAAGGATCTGTCTCATTTTGGGCTCCTCAGATTTCTTGTACCTCTCTTTCCCACACTCAATGTTAGTTTGGTCCAAAGGTTGGCAGTGGTCAGGAGATGTTCAGACTTTCCACAGTTTACTCATTCCCTTTTCTCCTCAATGGTTCCAGGTGACTCTGCTGCTGTACGACTCAACCAAGATGAGGCAACTGCTTTCCAAGTCTGTTGTGATCGATGATGATGATGACGATGAATACCCCTGGAGGCAGAACGCTCACAAGTACTACATCCATCTAACCCTCAGCCTCTTCCTCTTCCTCTGGTTCATTCTTGGGAACTACTGGGTGTTTTCAGTGTACCTGCCAAATTTCATCCCACCTTTTCACCAGCCTCAGGATTACTGTGACAAAACCTTGTACATTTTTGCTGTTGGTGTTCTCATTATTAGCCATACTGTTCTCTTCCTCCTCATCTTTTGTAGCTGTTGCATATATCTTTTTTCCAGGCAAAGATACTCTTCAGAGGAAGACTAAGTGCCACGTAAATAAAGCTCCAGATGTTTAGGAAAGGGTGTGTAATGAAAAGGCAATAACTCACCCTTATGTGTATCTTTGTTGTACTATATATACGTATGTTAGCAGTCAACTGCAAGAGGAAATTGTAAATCACATTCCAGTGCCATTTGGAATTAGCTAAACTAGAATACAGCTTACTCCATGTGAAATTGCTGCTATAGATGCCGGGGTGCAGTCTTGCTAACTTCTATAACCCTTTTTTAACTCTTGGATTTTCTATTTGAAGTGTCAAATTCTTTAGTAAGCTCTTGGATATGACAAACTCCTCTAAAACCAGGCTCCTGGTTTTACAGCACAGTACATGTTTGCCTGTAAAAGTAGCTATGTTATCCCCTTTACTGAGACCTGAACACCTCTGTAGCCTTGCCGAGGTATGTTACTGTCCTTGCATTAAAGATGCAGGAGCTGAGGCAACAAAAGATATAGGGCTGCATTCAGACCACTTTGACTTTGGACTTTGACAGTGACTTAGATGCTCCTCAGAAAGCTACCCAGGCCACTGTTAGACCAGCCTGTTAAGTATCTGGGATAGCAGTATGAGCATATATAAAAGGCAGCTCGAATATGGCACCAAGATCTCTCCTGAACTTGGTCTAGAAAGCATCTGTATCTATCTTTGGTGCTAAAACAGTCTCCATGTATCCATGTATATCCAGTGCATCCAAACTGAGCCAAGGCCACCAGGAGATGAGCTACTGAGCAACAGATTAGGCGCTGTAACCAGGACTCAGCAGTTCCCAGCCCAGGGAGACTCATTTCTCCACTTCTTGTATAATATTAATTTGTCAGTACCACACCAAGATGCTTGTCAAACCACGGTGATGAAGTTCACATCAAAATTGATGAGGCTATGTTAGTGTTTTAAACATAGAACACGGTAATATAGAATATTTAAATATGGAACATGAGCAGGAATGTGAGAATTTCAGGTGGATGTGCTTATTAGAGGAGTTCTCTAGTTGTGGTGTGAGTGTGAAACTCCTGATTTGTTCACTGCAGTGCCGTACTTACGGAAATCTATACTTAATGGATAGATGTAACTAATACAGCTTTTAAGCCAACAGCAGTGTCAGCTTTAAAAGCACCAGCATGCTCAGAGACAATTGTTTTGTGACATGTAATGGAATGAGCCCATACCTGGTCCTGGGAGATTGTTTTTTATGTGCTGATGAATGCAGTATAAAAGTGCTCTTTCTGCTTTTTCTTTTATGCAAATCTGTTAATACAGCCAAAGTGGAAGGGCTCTCCTGTATGCAAGCATGAGGATGGCCCCAGGCACAGGAAGCAGATGTGGGCTTGGGGTATCTTTTCTGTTAAAAACCAGTGTTTTTAGAAGTGTGTGTTTTAGAGAAACCTAACAGAGCTGTAAGGCACCTGTGGAAGGGCAAGATCTGTTCAACAACAATACCCACAGCTGAACAGGCTTTGTTCAACCATTCCTCCTGGGTCTGAGGCTGAACAATAGAATATCTGTGGGAATCACCTGTGAACATTTATCTCAGAGCCACTGCATAGACTAAGGGTGCATTTGGTCCAGATAGATTTTAATTCATGCCCCAGCTTTAGGAATTATTTAGTTCCAGAAATCTAATCTTAGCAAGCCGGTGGGAAAATGGGTAGAAGAGGAGAAATCAGCGTAGCACTCCCCAGCTCCACAGCAGTTATCAGGAGTCAGAGATATGCTGTCCCCATTCAGAAATTCATCAAATGGAAGTTGCTAACACTGCCACTTGATGCATGCTGTGTGCAGGGAAGTATGAGCAGCGGCAGCCCTTCCTTTTATACATGAACTGAAGATCCAGGCTGTGTTTTCCCATGAGCTGCTTCACCCCATGCTCTCCATTGCCTCTCTGAAGGTACTACGTGTTTCTGAAACATAACTGTTGCCAACAGTGGAATGCTAGAATTCCTCCTTCCTACCCCAAGTATCTCATGGCTCAGCATTTGGACTACCAGATTGTGGCACAGACAGATGCTCAGTTCTGAACCACTCTACATGATTCTACCTTCAGTGGAGAGCATATTTCATTCATTAAGATGTCACGGTGTTTAAAAAATTGCATTTCAGCATCTTGACATCCGTCCAGCACTTGAATGCAACAAAGTTGCTGTTTAGCATTACACAGGAACCTTACCAAAAAGCATTAAAAAGATTTTATTATGCAAAGGAAATTTAACACTAAAATAACTACAGACATTCATTCCAATCACTGGACTCCAATAAAAATGTCCCTGTTCTTGTAAAATGCTGCTAGAGTCATTCTTGATTACAGAAAATTACTCCTGTGTGCGTCAGAACTGACTGCTGTGCCACTACACACCCCGCGACCTTGCAGCAAGTGACAATGTGTGTGCTCCTACCCAACCAAATACGATTTGATTTTAGTTTGCCCCACAGAAGAAGAGATTTAAGCTGAGTCCCATTGCCTTGTGTTTTCTGTGTGCCTGTATACGGGCAGTTGCAGCAGCAGATGAGCAATAATTCATGAAACACACCAGTGACACACCAGTGAGCCTGAGGCCTGCATCTCGTTCAGGCTGAATGAATCTCTGCAGTCAGTTGTGGAGACTTAATTCTTTAGGTATGAGAACTCAGAACATTCACTGACTTTGTGGGAAACAGCTGATAAATCACAATGCCAGTGTTCAGTAGTTGGTTGACTCAAGCTGAAAGTAATAGAGGAGGTATTAGGGAAGCTAAGGGCAGTTGTAAAATACTTTAAACATCTATATGGTAAACAGAAAACTTCGTTAAGATCGAGGGAGGAAAATTCTGAATTGACAGTATTTAACTTTACTTATGTATGTGAATAATCTATTACACTGCCACTGTCTCCTTCAGCAGGATAGAATCACGCAGGTGTAGAGCAAGGACAGCCAGTTTGGAGCATATGATGCATACACTGTGTTATTGTGGCTTATTAAGTTATCAACATTCTCCTGGTCCGTCATCTTCAGCAGGATTGCTCCTAACACTCAATAAAGCACTCAGCTTAAATTCAAATGAAGCTGGTTCAACTGAAAGCATTTTATCTCCCTTTGGGGTAAGCTAGGAATGTGGTCTTCAGCACCTTACCTTGTAAACAGTAACTTCTTAAATTCATGGAGTGATGGTGTCCCAGGCATGGATGAGCTCAGTCCCTGGAGGAACAAATATATTCCCTCTGCAGACTGCTGTGAAGAACTAAATCATTACAACCCCAAAGCTGAAAGGCTGAAAATACAGTCTACGCCTTGGTATGAAAATGTTTAACATTTTCCCACTAGACCAAAATTACAAATTGAATTTTTTTTTTTTCTTTTTTTTTTTTTTTTTCCTGCAGTGAAATAAATGGCTTTGGGAAAATTGAACAAAATACACCCTTAAGCCAATTATGATGAACTCAGAAATGTAACGACTACAATGGAGGAAATTGTCTGTAACCATTCTAGTTAAATCATCTCTCCCTTTTGAGAAACAAAGCTATCTTTCTAGCTTTCAACAGAAGAAATAGCCACAGTTTCGATGGATTAGATTGCCTGTGCTCTGCTAGTTGTGGGTACTATGGAAATCCAACAATATGAAGACACAAAGATATTTCTGCTTGCACAAAGAAGAATACAGACATATACATATCATAAATGCAATGGCAGTAGACATGCAATACATTACATTTATTACATTTTATTGCCCACAGTGTATTTCTCCTCCCTCCACTCCACCTTCTTTGGCAATAGACATCATATTCCAAAGCTTTGAGGAACAGCTTCCCAGAGCTGTTTTAAAAGCTGCAGACAGATAAGTAAATGTCTCATTCTTTCATTTCAACATAGGTAGCTCTGGAGGGCTACCTGCTGACCCACAGAAGTAGGAAAGAAGGACATCAGGCATGTCACAGACCTCATTGCTGGAGTAGAAACAGGAATTCATACTGTTCAGGAATAAAAATAGGAGATTGCTCTCACAAGGCAATTGGTTCAGACTTTATGAGGCCCCAAGACATCACACTTTAACAGTACAAGGTGACTGTGCAGAAAATAATAAAAAAAAAGTAGAAGTTATTCTTGGTTAGTTCAAGAGCTGTTTTACATGTTTCAGAGTTGGCTGAGCAAGGACCTGCAGCTTAAACTGAGGGAAAAGAGAGAAATGTACAGGACGTGGAAGCAGGGTGCCTGGGAAGAATATAGGGACGTTGTGTAGAAATAAGATTAGGAAAGCCAAGGCACAGACAGAGAGCTGAATTTGGTGAGAGATGTGAAAAATAATAAGAAGGGATTCTACAGGTACATAGGCAGGCACACAGCCAAGGAGAGTGTTCCCCCTCTGATAAATGAGGATGGAGAACTGGCTTCGTCAGACATAGGAAAAAGCTGAGGTACTCAATGAGCTGCTTTGCCTCAGTCTCCACAGGTGGCCAGGCTGCCTGTGTCTGCCAGGATCCTGAACCTCTAGGCGTGGGTGAGAGGAGTGGATTCCACCCCACTAGACTTCCTCATGAAACCGTATGTAAATCCATGGGGCAGGATGGCATGCATCGCGGGGTTCTGAGAAAGATGGCTGATGTGGTTGCCGAGCCGCTCTCCATCATATCTGAAAAATCATGGCTGTCAGGTAAAATCCCTGGTGACTGGAAAACATTACTCCCTACTCCCAAGAAAGGGAGAAAGGAAGACCCAGGGAACCACGGGCTAGCGAACCTCACCTCTGTGCCTGGGATTCTCCTGGTTACCATGTTAAGGCATACATGAGATGAAGAGATGATCCGAGACAACCAGCACAGCTTCACCAAGGGCAGATGGTGCCTGACCAATCTGGTATGATGAAGTGACAGCATCAGTGGACAGGAGAAGGGAGATAGATGTCATCTACCTGGACTTCTACAAAGCCTTTGACATGATTCCTTCTCTCTAAAATAAAAAGGTATGGGTTTGAAAGATGGACTGTACAGTGGATTAAGAACTGGTTGGCTGGTCGCAGCCGAAGGGTTGGGATTAGTGGTTCTACATCTGAGTAGAGGCTGGTCACAAGTGGTATCCCATAGTGGGTTGGTCTTGGAATGGATATTCTTCAACATCTTCATCAATGACACAGATGATGGCATCAAGTGCACCCTCAGCAAGTTTGCAGATGACACCAAGCTGAGCGGTGCAGTAGATACACTGGAAGGAAGGGAAGCCATCCAGAGGGACCTGGACAGGCTGGAAAATTGGGCCCATCAGACCTTAATGAGGTTCTACAAGGCCAAGTGCAGGGTGCTACACTTGGGCTGGGGCAATCCCAGGTTTTTATACAGACTGGGAGAAGAACTCCTTGAGAGTAGCCCTGCTGAGAAGGACTTAAGGGTCTTGGCTGATGAAAAACTTAACAGGAGCCAGCAGTGTGTGCTTGCAGCCCAGAAGGCCAATGGTGTCATGGGTTCCATCAGGAGAAAGGTGGCCAGCAGGTAGAGGAAGGTGCTTGTCCCCCTCTACTCTGCTCTTGTGAGGCCCCATCTGCAGAACTGTTTCCAGGCCTGGGGCCCCCAGTACAGGAAAGACTCAGAGTTCTGGGAATGGGTCCAGAGGAGGGACACTAAGGTGATCAGAGGGCTGGAGCACCTCTCCTGTGAAGAAAGGTTGAGGGAACTGGGCTTGAAAAGAGAAGGCTCTGGGGAGACCTCATTGTGGCCTTCCAGTACTTGAAGCGAGCATATAAACAGGAAGGGGAATGACTGTTTACATGGATGGATAGCGATAGGACAAAGGGGAATAATTTTAAACTACGACAGGAGAGGTTTAGGTTAGATATTAGGAGGAAATTTTTCACCCAGAGGGTGGTGATGCACTGGAACAGGTTGTCCAGAGAGGTTGAGAATTCCCCATCCCTGGAGGCATTCAAGACCAGGCTGGACGTTGCTCTGGGCAGCCTGGTCTGCTGGTTGGCGACCCTGCACATAGCAGGGGGTTGAAACTGGATGAGCATTGTGGTCCTTTTCAACCCAGGACTTTCCATGATTCTGTAATTCTATGAAAAGGTGAATGGCGAGTGCAAATGAATCTAAATGCAGGCAAAGGACTATGCATCTTAAACCCACAACAATTTCTATACATCCTATAACATTTTAACAGATCTGTAGATATCTGTATCTGTAAGATACCTTGAATCTTGTAACTGATTCTAGTTATTAATCTTCCCCAAGTTCTAGCTGATAGGGACACAACAAAGACCCATGCATGTTCTGCAGATAACACAGACAGGACTGTTACATCAGGAATGTCATCTGAGATTGTTGCTTCTTGCCTTAGGTTTCTTAGGGTTCCTGTTCACTACAGGAGTAACATGAAGGCCCCACAGATGTCAGACATAAGGAGAGAGATAAAATATTTTTAGAAAGCATACATAGGGGGAAAATGAAAAAGGCTGACAAATGTAATCTTACCTTGCACAGTACAGGAAAATAAAGTACAAGAAAACTGTTGAAAAGATCAGCATTATGTTGCAAGAACAGATTTTTCAGAAAACTGTATGAAGTTCTGAGAAATGTTTTTAACACTGAATTTCTATCAAATGTCTAATTTGAATAAAAATACAAGGAGGAAGGCACTGACCAACATGAGTGAATAAGCATACATGATTTGAGGTTACAAACTAAAGTACTTTATTAGACATGCTAATTATAATCATCTCTACTGCAATTTCACTGAGATGAATTGTTATATCAGAGTCTGATTTCACCCACAGATTTGAATCTAAGCCATAATGACTCTTCCGTATGACCATTAATGCTAAAGCAAGGCAGAAATCTATGATATTTTTCCCAGGCTGCGATCTAACAGTTCAAATCTGACAGGTGTCCTGAGATGCAAAGTATCTCCTGAGGGCCAATGTGTGCAAAAGGTTTTTCTACAAGGAGATCCTCCAGACTTCCACATCAGATAGGTACCTGCATATCCTGTGGACTTGATTCTTAGTCCTTTGGGGGAAAAAAAGTTACTTTTCAGTACTGAGCTGAGTACTCAGGGTGCAGCACTGAGCTCAGTTTGCAGGGTGCAAACAGTGGAGAAATTATGACATACTGGTACAGCTGCTTCTTGAGCACAACAGGCTAATTGGCCTAGAGAAGGCCTGATTTCATTGCAAATAACCTTGCTGAAGACAGGAGCTGGCAAACTTATCAATTACTTGGGTATAAAAGTGCACAAAGAAAGAGAATACCCTGCTGCTCCTCAGAACAGCCAGAACTTTGACCCTTCGCTGCACTCCCGATGAGTAACTTTTCTACTCGCACTCTTCTAATCACATCAACACGTCAGATATGATGCTGGGATCTCCAGGCCTGGATGCTCCTCTTCAATCACTCACAGGCCCTCTGCTCCAGCCAGGCAGAAAGAAGTGCGCTGTCTCTGTCTGAGAGCTGCTGACAGCTCTTAATTGCTGCTACACTTAGAGGGTGCTTTAACTTCTCAAGTGCTCTTGAGTGTCCACGAGGACATCACGGCAAATGCTCTCGGCAAACGCATGTCTCTAAAGATGGTGACTTGCACACAGTTGCCACTTCCTTTGAAAACCTGTTTCTAACTACAGATGTTGAGCTCTTCTGAAACTTTGGCCGTTAAAACCTGCTCCTGTTCCCACTGCAATCAGTGACCATGTTCTGATTGACTTAATGGGGCCAGGCACAACAACTTAATTAGAAATTTGGCAACTGTGGTGAAAGAATGCACAAAAGCCTTCTGGATCTTCTGTAGGAAGCAAGGAAAGGAGCCAGTTGTGCTTAAGACAAAGATAGTAGAAGAGACTGGCAGGATGGCCTTGAAGCTGCTCTTAAACATCTTGTATAACATAATTGCTTTTCAGCTCTTGAGTACTCTACCTGTCCCTTGGGAAGAAAACATGAAGCGTGCTGAAATGCAGAGCCCTGCAGAGCAATCAGTACCCTCAACTTTTCTTTTGTGTTTTGAGGTAATTAAAACCTTGTTTAAAACTCCTTGCTCTTTCACAGATACAAGGATGGATCAAATCCAAGGATTCTTTTCATGTCAGCCCAGCTGTGTGGCCAGAGGTGCATTTTCACCAGCCCTTGCGTTTTATGAAAACAATGAGGTCTTTATTCAAGAAATCCTAACGCTGTGGGGATCACAATCACAACAATTCAGATATTTTATTTGCTTTGAGAATTTTCT